CCACGCAGAGCGTGCTACTGTCTGCATTTGACAAAAGAAGAGAGTGAGCTTAAAAAGCAAACTCGATCAGGCCATTTCCTTCTGAAAAGGATCTGCCCACTCGGGCCCCTCAGCCCATCCCTCCACCGGAACTGCCTTTCACCTTTTGACCCTGCCATGCCCTCATGCGTGACCCCTGCCATGAGCACTCTGTCTCTCTAACTCCTGCTCATCCTTCAGGTCTTCGGCTTAAGCCTCCCCACCTCCGAGAAGCATGCCCGCAGGCCCCGGGACTGGGGAGCCGTGCTACACCCTTATCACCATTACTCAGTTAACCGATCCTCCCGTGGCCTCAGTACATAGCACAGGGCCTGTCACACTATGTGGAGTCAACGTCAACATCAAAATGAAGCAAGAGCAGCCGAACTAGGATCTGGACCCAGAAGGTGTAGAAACAGAACTAAAATCCTACTTTCCTGACTCCTGGGCCACTCTCTGCACCCTGTCACACCAGCGACACCTGTTCCTGCCTGTTCTGCAACCATTCTCCTTCCGATCACAGCGTATGGACTTCCTCTGGTGGGCCTCGGCACCCCCATTTCAATCCATGTGGTTTACGGGGGCTCGTCCCCACTCCGGCTCAGGGGTACACTTGGTACCTAGACCCGACCCAGCTCATCCCATCCTGGTGGCCACTGTGGCTGGTCCCAGGTCAGCAGCAAAGGAGAGCTCCTGGCGAAGCAAATGAGCTGAGCGTCTGGGCCCCTCCATGCACAAGCCCCTTCCAACTTGGAACCAGCAGTGTGTGCACATGGTGTTTTTATGACATTTTCAAAATGAGGGATTTTATCCTTAATCGTTAAGACTGCTGTCTCTTTCCATTCTGACTTCCCATACTTCCCCGTGTCACGTGATATCAGAGTGACTTCTCTGGAATCCAGCTCAGGGGAGGCTGAGTTGAGGATGTTTATTTAGGTTTCTCAGGATATAGATCTAGTCCATAGTTACAAAAGAATTATGTATTCTTTCTCTTAAAGAAGGGCTCCCAGAAAGGGATGAGCTTTGGGTCCCACAAACCCTAGGCTCAGGTTGGCCAGTAAAGAGAGAATCAAACTTCTGCAAGAAGTAGTGAGATTTGGAGCCCTCTCCTGTAGTGGCTGAGCCCCTAGGACGTGAGCCCAGACCATCACCTTGGCCACCTTCGGGGAGGAGCCAACAGGGCAAAGGCGAGATGACAGAGAGGGACAGAGAGTGTGTGCAAGCATGTGGACGACGTGGCTGGAGCTCCCGCGTCCAGCCAGCCCTTTTCACCCAAGCTCTACCCTAGGATTTTTCAATTGCACCAAAGCTTTAGCGAATTTGGGTAGAGTATCCAAAAGAACCAAAAGAATCCTGAATTAACAATCCATGACTTAGAGCCCCTGTCTTTCAGGAAAAACCACTGCCACTAAAACTAATTTAGCCAACACAGGACCCGCTAAGGTGGTTTCCGGTCGCTCCTACCAGTGCGTGGCCACCCTTCCCGAGACCAGCAATGCCCCCCGGGTCTCCCCACCCCCCTGCCTCACACGATGCACTTTACTGTAAATAGATGTTATTTCAGTGCCAGTTGTGACTGAGGGGAAAGAGGAACGGAAAAAGGAGAGGAGTTTGGGGGGACTCTTCCCAACAAATAGCACCCTGGCCTTTTCTCTCATCGGAGCATCAAGATGATGAGCACTCGCTGTGAGGTTCAAACGGGACTGAGACGGAACATCTGTTCAGGGAGGGAGGGGAAAACACGGGGAGAGGGACAGGGAAGGGAAAAAAGCCTTCTTTGGGCTAAAAATATCATGTCCCTTCCACTCTCTCCCATCCCCGCCCAAGTTAAAACATGTGATGAAATCCAACTTTTAAAATCTAACCCCGAGCTACTTGAAACTATGAAAGCCTCCCCGGTATCTGACACCAGTCAGAGTTTCCACTGTGCGAGCAGAGCTTTTATGAGTAGCAGACTTGAGAGAAACTGCTGTCGCCGCTGAAACCCGGGCTTCCGGGGACTGCAGAGGAGTGGAGTCAGGCGACTGACTGGCAGGCCAGCGGGCCTGGCTCTGGCTCCGGCTCCGGCTCCAAACTGAGGGAGAGAAGCCCGTGGGTGCGGCCACCTGCCCCTGGGGTGGGGGGTGCTGCTGCTCTCCAGTGAGCTCCCCTTCCTCTCTGACTCCCAGGGACCACAGCCAGATCCTCCGATCGACCAGCCTTGCCCAGGGGTCACGGGGAACCTCGGTGTCTGTGTCCCAAGAAGTCCTCTCTCCCCCTCTCCCTCCCTCCCTTGCCCCCCTCTCTCTTGCTCTCTCCCTCTCCCCTCTCTGCTTCTCTCTTTCTCCCTTTCTCCCTCCTTCCCTCTCCCTCCCTGTTTCTCTGTGCCTCTGTCTATCATCT